CTGCACACACAGACGCGCACGCGCAAGCGCACTCCGAGTCCTCCTTGGCTGTCAGGGCCTCCTCCCTCCCTCTGTCTCCACGTTCAGCTGAGTGCGGGCCCGCTGCCTTCCCCGGACACCCACCCCCAAGGGCTTTCTCTTTCTGACACTGACGGGGTGTCCGGTCGTTCAGCTCTGACACTAATCCGGGGGACAAGCGGGACCCACTAAGGGCTCAGACAGCAAAGACTGCCGCCCCAGCTGGGGTCTCCTCCGCAGCTCTCCCCTGCCCAGCGGGCATTGTGAGTCCCCTTCCCTGGAAGGACCGCTGGCTCGCCTGCCTACCGTTACTTGCTATTACCACAGCCCTAGGAGCGCTCCTCTCCACTGGCCTGAGCCCGGCCTGAGGCCCACCACCTAGGGCCGAAGATTAGGAAAACAGAGACCTCGGGCGCTGAACCCTCCAGAGCTAGACCTACTGGCATTCCGGGTCGCCCTTCTTCACCTGGAGCTGATTAATAGTTCAGGGCTCTGGACTGCATCTCTACGTGCACTTGTGGGGAAGGACATGCGCAGTAGACACAGCCGACCTGACTCAATCACACCTGTCAATCCTGTTGCCCACCCTGCCCTGGAAGACCCCGGGAGGCGCAAGGTTTGAAATTCTTACACCCCGTGCCTTCAGCGCCATTGGTCACACAGGAGAACCTAGAAACCCAACTTGCACACCATCACCCAGGGTAACAGGAGTATACAACAGGTAGGGCTCTGACTGAGGAGGTGACAGGGTGACCAGCCAGGAAGCTCTCTGCACCAACCCCACCTTGAAGGGATGATGTGGTTTTACTACATAGGCGTAATTACTTGGCCATGGTGTTCGCAGCCCGCAGCCCTCCTCCCCTCACTGAGACTTCCTCTGCTGACCTGGTCACCAGTCCCGCCCTGAGTCTACCCGGAAGCCCACCAGTCCACGGACAGGAGCTCGGGATGGTTGAAAGGTGCTCTGGCCACACACATGCTCCCATCACTCAGGAAACCCAAGGGTGTAGGGAGCTCTGTGCTGGGAACTGGGGTCAAAACCCAAATATTGTGTGTATTTTGTTCCATACCATGCACCCTAAAAACCACTACTCGGTCTAACTGTGAGGAAACCATCAAACCCCAGGAGAAGAACATTTTACAAAATAGCTGACTGGCCTACAAACCATCAGATCTTCAAAATACAGAGTGTGAGAAACTGCCCCAGCGGGGGGAGGTAAGGAGACACCTCAGTTAGTCTGCCGTGGGGTCCCGGCCAGGGTCCTGGAGAAGCAAAGGACTTTGGGGGAAAAAAAAGAGGAAATCTGAGATCTGTGTTGTGGTGTAAGCATAAAGCAGGTGCCAACAATACAAGTTACCAGTATTGGCTCATTAATTGTTAACAAGTGGACTATAGGAATGGGGGATATGAATGAAAGCAAACTCATGCATTGGAACTCTCTTCACTCTTTTACAATTTTCTTGTCTAGCTATCTAAAACTTTTCTAAAAGCAAAATTTACTCCCCTTTTTTTTTGGCAGTACTACCCACCCCCAGTACTGGGGGTTGAACCCAGGGCCTTGCATTCACCACTGAGCTTACCCCCAGCCCTTTTTAAATCTTATATTGAGACAGAGTCTTGCTAAATCTCTAAATTTCCCAGGCTGGGCTCAAAATTGTGATCCTCCTGCCTCAGCATCCAAGTCTACTGAGATTACTGGCACCACACCCAGCTGGTTTCAAAGTGATAACTGACTGCAGCTAGAAAATGCAGGCTAGAAATCACCAGAGAAACTCCAAAAATAACAGAAGAAAAGGGCAGCAACAGCAGGCCTGGAGAATGCAGAGCCGCCCAGCCAGCCCAGGCGCACCCCCCAACAGTGGCAGCTCAACTGCTGGGCACCGGGGACATCAGGGTACGAGCGGAAGCCTCCAGCCTCGCCCTTCCTGCCTTGAGGCAGCCCTGACCCCTGGCACAGCTGGCCATGGACAGCAGCCGGCAGGACTGATAAATATCAGGGCCTGGACAGGCTGACTTCTAAATTGAGGCTGACACACAGTGACCCCATGACTGTTCCCTCCCTAAAAGTAGCAGGGAAGTCCAGGGCCTGAGCTAGGAGTTGAACTGTGTGCCCGTAAAAAAGTTACATTTTAGTCCCAAGCCCCAGTAGCTCAGAATGCACCCTCTTTGGGAAATAGGACCATCATGGCTGTCATTAGTTAAAGCGAGGTTGCACTAACCCAGTGTGCCTGGTGATTTGACAAAAAGACAGAGACCTTGTGGTGACAAAGGCAGAGGCGGCAGTGTGCTCCGAAGCCAGAGGAGCCCTGCTGGGCTCAGAGGGACCTGTCCCGCCACCATCTCAGTTTCAGGCTTCCAGGCTCCACGGCTACCAGGCAACTGTATTCCAGTTCCTTCAGCCACCCTCTTTCCAACACTTTGTTACAGAGGCAGACTAAAGCAGTCTTACTGAAGTGTCCTCCTGGGGTAATGAAGATACTTGCTACTTTCTACTGGATACTTTGTGTTTTGAGATAGGGTCTCCCTATGTAATTCCGGCTGGCCTTGAACTCACTATGGAGCTCAGGTTGGCCTCGAACTCCCAGCCATCCTCCTGCCTCAGCTTCCTGGGACTATAGGCGTGCCCACCATGCATGCTGTTTTATGTTTTGAGCTATTTGATCACAGGATCTACTGATACAATGAAGTTACAATCAAATAAGGAAAGCATCCAGAAAGTAGGCTTTCAAATGTGAAGGACAAATTGGGCATCTAGAGTAGCTGAACTGCTGAGCTGAGAAGTCAGGTATTTTGGACCAACACAGCCTCAGGAAAAATTACCAGGAGGCACCGTGTATGCATAGGCTGGATCAGAGGCAGGAGAGAGCCGTGCCCTAGCCAGGTAGAAATGATGAGCCTGGCGCCAATGGTGTCCCTGTGTGCAGGTGGGGTGTCTCTCCAGGCCCTTGGGGTCCCGAACAGAACTGGACAGGACACACACAAAAGGCATAGAGGGCGAGCATTACTGGAGGTGGAAAAGAGTGCGCTCTGCAGAGAGAGAAGAGACCCAGGACAATAGAAAGGGGGCCTTTGTCATCTCCCTCTCATGCAAATAAGGCACTGGGACAGTGGTCCTATCACTCACTCAGTCTCCACCTTGCGAAAACTGTGCTATGGGAAAGATGGCTTGCTTTCCGGCAGTATGTAAATGAAGGATCAGGAGCACTGTCTTTTGATTGGCTGTGCCCATATGCAAATGAAGGATTGAAAAGAGGATCTTCTGATTGGTCCTATGTACAGCACCACATTCAAATGAAGGACTGAAAATCGCACTTTTCTGATTGGTTCTGTGTAGAGCAATGATGTCACAGAATTGGGAGTGTTCCTCATCCTGCTGCCTTAAAATTGGCTTTTAAGATTTAAAAAAAAAGTGGGGGGGACCAGCTGAAATTCCTCCCATATCAAGTGCTTTGGAAAAAAGGTCTTAGTCATAGTCATGACTCCCTGTAAATACATGTGCTCTGCTTGGCTTCAGCAGATGAAATGCTGCTGCTTTGTGCTGCTTGCATTTGAGACCTCTATGCTGATCCGGAATTGGAATTTATGTTGGCCTGGCAATGTGTATGTCAGCTTCCCTCGGCCTGCACCAGCCGATGTGATGTCTCCTCCATGTCTCTGTTAGCCGGGTTTGCATCTCTGTGGCCTGAGGAAAACAACCTCGAAGAGGAAAGGGTTGTTCTCACGGTTGCCAAGGTTTCAGTCCATGTCCACAGGCTGCGTTGCTCAGGCCCATGGTAGAGCAAAGGCATCATAGTGGAGGCCCTGGCCGAGGAGGCTGCTCACTTCACCGCAGCAGCCAGGAAGCAGAGAAAGCAGGGAGAGAGACAGAGAGGATGGGCCCAGCCGGATGTGGGGTCACACGCCTGCCTGTGTCCCAGCACTTGGGAGGCTATGGCGGGAGGATCGCTGTAAGTTCTGTGTCAGCCTGAACTACATGCTGAGTTCAGTGCCAGCCTGTGCTACAGAGCAAGACCTGTCTCAAAACAAAGAAAGAAAGA